CACAGGAATTGACCGGTATTGATATAGAATCTTGCTGATCTATGACGTTTTGGTGTATTTTATACCAGGCGCGCACCCAGGATTTTCCAGGGGAGGGGGCCCGGGCGAACAGGGGCCTCCGTATTCCGGTTGCCGGGGGGCCTCTGTCTAGCGAGGGGGCCTCCATTTCGCTAACTTTGTGACGGCTGTTTGTATGATAGGTGACGTTCTTAGCGATCTCACTAAATAGTTAAACTCATTGGCTCTGTAAGCATATGACTCAATAGCCAGCAAACGTTGTCGTGCTGGAAGGCCTTCTGGTAACCCTCTTAACGCCCTAAAACGTTACGTAACGACTAAGCGCTCTACCCAGAATAGAACTCACCCTATCCCATCAGTAGATAAGTACACAAAGCTCAATGAACAAATCTCATTACCTTTGAGATTTGCATGCTTTTGTTTGCATTGACGTCGTGTCGTCACCTGTGCCTGTGGCAACATGTCATCTTTGAGAGGCAAAAGGTAATAGTCAACAGATATATTCCTGAAGCCTCACTGAACACTCACCGGTGCGACCAGTCGACAGCACCTCTGAGAGAGCTGGACTCAATCAAACTGAGCGCCGGGGGCGCGTCTTCATGAAGCGGTCTGCTACCATGGACGGATCCAGCGAGGCCACGCCGTGTGCACTCATCAGAATGAGGCTCTCCAACCGGCTCTCTCCCATTGTTGTCCGCTGTTCAGTCTCAACACGCTTCAGTGGCGAGAAACTTCGTTCTGCAGAACAGCTTGTGACGGGGAGGGTCATGAGGATTTGAAGCAGTGTCTTGACGTTCGGAAGTGAGCCCGCCATCCGGAATGCGTCTCCCACAGTCTGTGGGCGGTTGGTTGCTGATGATACCATGGCACGCCAAAGCACAAGTTCCGACCGGAGGTTGACTGGGCTCGGCAGATCTTTGTGGTACGCTTCAGCACACTCGACAACTGCGGAGAGGTCAGCGGTCCCTATGCGTGCTGGAAGGACTCCCTCCAGTTGCAGGCCAGGATGATCTTCCGGGAAGCGCTCCTTCAGCTCCTTGATCATTTGGTCGATGAAAGGGTTGAACACGTTGATCCGGTAGTTCGTCTCTGGATCTGATGACACGGAGCTGTTAGGTCGGTGCACTTGTCGAGACGAGCCTCTCGGAGCGATGACTGGTATGTCCAGCTTGTCAGCCAGTGCAGCAGCCTTTTTCATCACAGCTGGGAACTCTTCTCTTGCGTCTTGCACTGCCTGCTGGACTTCGTTGATTTTTTGCATGGCATCACTCAGTGACTGCTGGGGATTTTGGAGGCAGATCGACAGACCCAGTGTGATGCCGAAGAGGAGCACAGCCATCTCAAGACAGATTAGGAAGTCGAAGCGGGTGATCGCTGCCAGATGTCCGGACGCTTTTTGAGCTGCGTCGCTGCTTCCCTCCCGCTCAACGTGTTCGAGTGCTGCGACGATGGGAACTAGCAGCTGTTCGAAGGTCAGCAGGGACTCGTGCTGCTCCACCCATCGAGTTCGGCACAGCGCCTTCAGTCTCTTTTTCTTTTGCTCCTCGCCCAACTGTTCCACTTTTTCCTCCAGAAGCTGCACTCGAGCCGCGGAGTCGTTGAAAAAGTTGGAAGCGACGGACACGACACCCAGCATGTTGCGCACCCCTGGGACAGTTAGTGCCCGACCTAGCGCAAGGTTTAGCCGGTGAGAGGCGCAGTGAGTGTACACGGCCAACGGCTGAAGAGTCCTGATTCGGGACTGAGCACCGCTAATTCGCCCGCTCATGTTTCCACCGCCGTCATAGCCCTGACCCCTCACGCCATCTAGTGATAGGTCCAGTTTTTGTAGGGCGTCGATGATCATCTTCGAGAGCGCTTCTCCAGTCGTCTTCTCAGGGTTCAGCAGAGCCACCATATCCTCTCGCACCGTTCCATCTTCAGCTACGTACCGAAGAACGAGAGCGAGCTGTCCCCGTTTGTTTCGGTCGGTCGTCTCATCGGCGATGATCGTGTACATGCTTGCTTTTTTTATCTTTTCCACGACGTTCTCCTTGATCATCTGTCCGCATACAAGGATAATCTGATTTTGCACGTTCCAGCTCGTTAGCTGCATGTTCTTCGGGGCTGTTCTAATGCTATCTTCTAGCAGCCTGTCCCCTTGCGCCCGATACCTTAGCAAGGCTTTGAAGTTTCCTTCTCCTCTTTTCGGAACGGCATCAAGGTCCAGCGGACCGTCGTCACGATGGCCTCGCAGTGCCAACTCTTGAGCACCGCAGAGCAGCACAGTCTGGATCACCGGCAGAAGTCTTTTCTTGTAGTCTGCTTCTTGCTGTTCCCGCTTCCTTCTTTCTTCTCTCCTCTGTCCATCCACCAGCTCGTCGATGCCCATTCTTCCCATCAGGACTTCTTCAACCATTGTGACCGCGTCTGCATGATACTCCGTGGTTTGGTGCTGACGCAGATGCCGTTTTGCGTCTTTGAACCGCTTGAATGGCTCAGTGACGAAACTTCTCAGCGCCTGGTCTCCTGAAGCCCTCCCGCTGATTTGCCTCCCCATCAGCACACAGTATCGACAAAAGCCGCCTTCAAGTCCCGGCACAGCACTGTAAGTGAGCCAGGGAAACTCAGCGATGTGATCTCGCTGGAACTTCCGATTTTTACCGCCAGCATCAGGAACCACTGGGAATCGGTATGATGGCGGCGGAGTCCATGGGTCTTTCAGAAGTCGTCTTCTCTCCTCCAACGGGAGCTGTTTCGCGCAGACGTAGTTGCCAATGTCATCCGGATGCACAGAGGATGCGACAGCATTGCAGGATCCAGGCGCTGAAAGAAAAGAAGGTAGGATGTAGAGGAAAAGGACACAGAAGTTTGCAGTACCGTAATTGAAGGACGCAAGACCAAAGTGAAAGTAACGTACTCGTTCGACTGGCTGGGACATGGCGTAATGAACTATCCCCAATTGAAAGGAAACCGGAAATGTTCGCCCACTTCAACATTAAACGCGATTAGTGACGACATCGTGCATATCATGTACATATAATGTTAACCCGCGCGTGCTACTGGTCTGAGTTTTCCATGCCGTGCTAGGGAAGGGGGAGGGGCGTTTTCAAGCTTCCCCCCCGTCGAACTCGGCTCCTGAGCCACGTAGCGACACGCGGTAGAAATTCGAAAGAGCGTCAAAAATAATGAAGAAAAATCTTCGGTCATTTTTTGGTTCAGGTCAAAGATCAGGTCACCAGAGATCATCGAAGGTCAAATTTTGCCCAGTTGAACAGCTTTTGACGAATCGGCGCGTGACTCGGGAACCATTACAGTTTGAGCGCCACGGAAAAGCGCATTCGATACTCAAACAGCCGTTTGTGAATTGTGACGATAGCGGACAGGTAAGTTAGGTAACACAGGTAGCCAATCAAGCTATCCAATATACTGACCGTTCCCGGAGTCCCGGTCATCGATGTCTGCAGCGGCGCCGCTCGTCGGCCTCTGCACACCGGCCGCTGGGACTGGCGGATGCGGCTGTCTGGTGGCAGCAGCCGACCCCGAACAGGACGGGAGAGGATCTGCCAGGGAGAGTTGGCGATCAGTAGACAATAATTAGCTCAAACAGCCGTTTGTGAATTGTGACGATAGCGGACAGGTAAGTTAGGTAACACAGGTAGCCAATCAAGCTATCCAATATACTGACCGTTCCCGGAGTCCCGGTCATCGATGTTTGCAGCGGCGCCGCTCGTCGGCCTCTGCACACCGGCCGCTGGGACTGGCGGATGCGGCTGTCGGGTGGCATCAGCCGACCCGGAATAGGACGGGAGAGGATCTGCCAGGGAGAGTCGGCGATAAGTAATTAGCTCAAACAGCCGTTTGTGAATTGTGGCGATAGCGGACAGGTAAGTTCGGTAACACAGGTAGCCAATCAAGCTATCCAATATACTGACCGTTCCCGGAGTCCCGGTCATCGATGTCTGCAGCGGCGCCGCTCGTCGGCCTCTGCACACCGGCCGCTGGGACTGGCGGATGCGGCTGTCTGGTGGCAGCAGCCGACCCCGAACAGGACGGGAGAGGATCTGCCAGGGAGAGTCGGCGATAAGTAATTAGCTCAAACAGCCGTTTGTGAGTTGTGGCGATAGCGGACACTGGACAGGTAAGTTAGGTAACACAGGTAGCCAATCAAGCTATCCAATATACTGACCGTTCCCGGAGTCCCGGTCATCGATGTCTGCAGCGGCGCCGCTCGTCGGCCTCTGCACACCGGCCGCTGGGACTGGCGGATGCGGCTGTCTGGTGGCAGCAGCCGACCCCGAACAGGACGGGAGAGGATCTGCCAGGGAGAGTTGGCGATCAGTAGACAATAATTAGCTCAAACAGCCAGTGGCGGCGGAAGCAGGGGGGCAAGGGGGGCAGCTGCACCCTAAAGTTATGGAAAGGGGCGCCTCGAAAATCTGTAGAGGAGGCAGGAAGGTAAGAGGTGCGGCAGCCATAAAGCTGAGCAGTGCGACACCGCAACTGATAAAGGCACTTGTGACACGAAGAGGGTGGCAATGACGTGGGAAAAGTATCTTTTGATATGCTGAAGAGTGGAGGGCATCCTTATCTGGAACAAATGCAGATGCTGCCGACCCTGTCGAATATAATCTTGCCAGGCGATAAAGGCTAGGAGGGCGCGCTAGTCCACACGAAGGTATTGGAACCGTGGAACTCTTTTCGATATGCCTTATTCGGAGAATCTTATGATATGGTGATGAGGTTGTTTCTAAACGAACATTATGAAGGTTACATTTACGCTATGGAATGTACCTAACTATTTCTCGTTACATAAAAACTGTAATTCTGAACGTGTTAACAGGTACAACACATTGTCAAACGTCTCTTCACTGTTTGTGTTACTACAATATGGTAAGGGGCGCCCAGCGGGAAGGGGCGCTTCAATATCGTTTGCACCCCTATCCTAGAATACCTTCCGCCGCCACTGCAAACAGCCGTTTGTGAATTGTGACGATAGCGGACAGGTAAGTTAGGTAACACAGGTAGCCAATCAAGCTATCCAATATACTGACCGTTCCCGGAGTCCCGGTCATCGATGTCTGCAGCGGCGCCGCTCGTCGGCCTCTGCACACCGGCCGCTGGGACTGGCGGATGCGGCTGTCTGGTGGCAGCAGCCGACCCGGAACAGGACGGGAGAGGATCTGCCAGGGAGAGTTGGCGATCAGTAGACAATAATTAGCTCAAACAGCCGTTTGTGAATTGTGACGATAGCGGACAGGTAAGTTAGGTAACACAGGTAGCCAATCAAGCTATCCAATATACTGACCGTTCCCGGAGTCCCGGTCATCGATGTCTGCAGCGGCGCCGCTCGTCGGCCTCTGCACACCGGCCGCTGGGACTGGCGGATGCGGCTGTCGGGTGGCAGCAGCCGACCCGGAACAGGACGGGAGAGGATCTGCCAGGGAGAGTCGGCGATCAGTAATTAGCTCAAACAGCCGTTTGTGAATTGTGGCGATAGCGGACAGGTAAGTTAGGTAACACAGGTAGCCAATCAAGCTATCCAATATACTGACCGTTCCCGGAGTCCCGGTCATCGATGTCTGCAGTGGCGCCGCTCGTCGGCCTCTGCACACCGGCCGACAAAAAGATAAAATGTATTACAAATATATTCCTAGCATTCCTAGCAAATATATTACAAACAAAAATTGGGATAATTACTTCTGATAAAAATTTAGGATACTGACCGTTAACAGCGCGTTCTCCAAAAAGAAAAGAGTCTAGTTTTTTGAATTTCCTAGCTTCATCGGCTGCCTCTTTTTGCCGTTTCCTTTTTCGCTTTTGAAAGCCACTAGCGTTCTTCCACATTGTTGACGCAAGATGCCACCTGCGGATCACATACATCACGGACCGAAGTAAACGGCAAGAGTCATAATAGGTAATCAAGGCATTTTGTCATTGAGGTCACGCCATGTCCATTTTATAAATTTTGTCAAATACCATAGCATTCAGTTGGCCTTGACGAGAGGATCACAATGGTAGGTAGAAATAGTTGGTATATAGCTCTAACAGCTTATACCTTCGACGTTATGGTGGTGGTGGTGGTGGGAGGATGACCGGGAGGGGGGAATCGTTTCATTGTCCAGTGTTTTTCTTCTTCTTCAGAACGACGGCAGGCGGAAGATTCCGAGAGGCCGTGCGACCTCCTGAGCGGCAGCGGCCTCAGCGGGAGCGACAGTTGGTCCGATGACTGGGCGTTGGCAATCCTTGCGACAGGACGAACTTGCAGTGTGACCCGTAGCGGGTAGATAGAGTAGAGTCACCCTGCTCCAAGCGTGAATTTTGAGTGCACTCAGCAGCCAGTAGATGGTGCCACCCATTTCCGGTGGCGAGCAGCAAGATATGGTGCCGACCGGGTACGTGGCGTGGGAGAGTACAAGACGTCGGCACTGCGATCGGGCATCTCAGAGCAAATGTTATGCAATCGGCGGTGCAGCACAAAAAAACAGGCTAGTGTCGGAAGGCCACGGGCTCAAAACTCTGGAAACAAACGTAACCGTCGAAAGTGGACGAAGGACGTCTGCACTGGTAATGCTAAATCATGCAAAAGTGGGCAAGAGTCACCGTTTTATGGGTTGGTCAACAATTATTTACAAGAACAGGGGAGGTTAAAAACCTCATATTCACGTTACGCTTTATATATCTTTAACATACCTGTAAAAAAACGAACCGGAGCGATGCGAACTCCGTGCGATCCAAATTCCGAAGGACAAGGCCGTTAAACGTAAACATTCAGCTGACGCGAAGGTCATTAAAAAGATGCTACTAAATCGCAAAATTGAGGGCACTTCAAGATTTGAACAATGTCTGTGTAGAAATGAACTAACAACTTTTTCAATTAGAGGAAAACGGTTTAAGTAATAATGTGTACAGAGGGCCCTTAAAGGTAGTGTGCCAGCTTTCTTGGACCGTATGGAGTTAATGGCCCAGATAAGGAGAACCGGATTTTTAGAACTTATCCATACCTTCAAAACTCATGGAAACGTCTTAAATTCTTCAAATTTTGAGTACCCCAGTGCGAAATTCGCCCCGACGGGTTGTCGGTCGTACCCCAACCACATTTCACACCACTATGAACAATAAATGCACACACTGAAATCGCTATTACCGATATGCTCATCCAATCAAGTTTCGATAAACCCGTTCATCATCATCTCCTGCGGTTTCGAACACGCCTGTTAGGTGGCTTCTGATGCTCGTCGAGGTCGGAATTTCCAAATACGCGTGGTGCGTCGGGCCGCGCGCTCTGACTTCGGCCAAGAAAAATGCGTCAGCTGATCATTGTCATTTCTGCCACTTGCGTGTGGTGAAATGGGGTCATAACTTATAAGACGGCTTTTTCATATCAATTATTTTACATAAAATCATATTTCAAACCATAAATAATGTTCGACAGCCAAATAAAAGAAACAATACCAATACGGGCTTACAGTTTAAGGCTCGACATTGTGTTGTCTACGATTAGACAGCTGATAACTCATTCCCGTACGTCGTATGGTCGTAACACTATAATGACCTTCGCTTATTGTCACAAATGCGCCGCATTCGCGATTGTTGCCCGACGCCTGTTTGCAGGTGAGCCCACTACAGTTGTTATACATATCTAAAAACCGAAAAACTTTTAGGCGAAAAAGGCACTATTCCAGGCCCATTTTTGATTTTTTTTTGCGATATTAGGTAAAAACAGAAGCTTCTTATCCTAGGAAAAATAAAATGGGAAATCTTTCAAAGGTGGCACACTACCTTTAATTTGTACAGATGGCATCATGGCCTTCAGATTGTCCAGCACCAGAGGTCTACTGCCGGTACCGAGGGCCTCCTATAGGTATGTAAAGGGAGCCTCCTATCGTACAGAGAGCCTTCTGTTGGTACAAACTACAGTGTGCCTCTGATTTGTCAAGGAGGCCTCCTGTTGGTACGGATGGTCTCTCACGTGTACAGAGCGCTCCCGTTTGTACAGAGGGCATCTTATTCGTCCAGTGACCTCCTGTGGGTACAGAGTGCCTCTGTTTGTCAATTTTCCAGGGGGTCTCCTGTTGTACAGTTGTACAGGAGGCCTCCTATATGTGCAGGGGGCTTCTCATTTGCAAAAGAGGGTCTAATATTTTTCCAGGGGGCCTCCTGTTGGAACAGAGGGCCTCCTATCTGTACAGGGGGCCTCCCATTTGTACAGAGGGCCTCTTGCTCGTTTAGAGGGTCTCTGAGTTGCCCAGGGGGCCTCCTGCTGGTACAGAGGGCCTCATATTTGTCAAGGGGGCCTCCCGTTGCTACAGAGGGCCTCCCATTTGTACAGAGGGCCTCCCATGTGCACAAAGGCTTCCCATTCATGTACAGAGGGGGCCTCCCATGCGTGCAAAGGGCCTCCTGAAGGCACAGAGGGCCTCCTATCTGTACATGGGGCCTCCTGTTGATATTGAGGGCCTCCCATTTGTACAGAGGGCCTCCTGTTAGTAGAGGGCCCAGGCCTCCTATCTGAACAGGGGCCTCCCATTTGTAAAGAGGGCCTCTTATTTGTCAAGGGGCCTCCTGCTGGTACACAGGGCCTCCTATATTGACCAAAGGACCTCCTGTCGGTAGCACTGATCAGTACCCGAGTTAAAAGTACCCGAAGCTCTGATCAGGTTCAGGGGCCTCCTAAAAATACCCGAGGAGGGGGGGGGCCCGGGCCCCAGGGCCCCCCCCCCCCCTTGGGTGCGCCACTGTTTTATACAATGGTACATAACCTGGTACATTGGCATACCCCATATGGTACGAAATAGGTTCGTTTTGGTACATTTTCACTCATAATCTGGTACATGTCGAAAATTCCCAACGGCAACACTGGCTTGTAGTAAATTCTTTGTTTTGTTATCTGTCAGATGAATTAATGAATCTATCTAACGTTCCAGGCAGGTGTGGGTGTTCGCTGACACGCCGCACATGATAAAGCTGGCCAGAAACCACCTGCTGGACGAAGGGCTGGTTCTACCAGGAGGTGGCAGGCTGGATCGGGCCTTCTTCACTGAAGTGCTGTCCATCGATGGTGGGCGCGAGTTCAAGCTCCTACCGAAGCTGGGCTTGCAGAGCCATGTAGCGGTGAGTGACACAGCTCTGTGTGAGCGTGGTTTTTCAGTGGCCCGGTAGACTTATGTATCGCAGACCTCTGCGGCATCCCATCATGGTTTTCGCCGATGTAATTTATTTTATTTTATTTTTAATAATGTGCCATTGCAGTATATATTTCTAGCGTTATCACCCTAATGCCCCATTCTCATAGCATGTGATAAATGACGAAATTGCCCACTGCCCAGGTATTGTGGCATCGCAATTTTTATTTTATTGAACTGGACTACATTTTCCAGGTGAAGGGGCAGGCGCGCCAGCGTGTTCGCCCGGCTGTGCAGCTGCTGAGCAACAGCGTGGCGACAGCGGCGCAACGTTTCCTCGGCCGTCACGAAGAGGCGGAGTTCATCCGTGTGATGGACAGGGTATTGGATGCCCTCAACGGCCAGAACCTAGCCGACGCCAAGAAGCTGCGGCGCGGCATGAGTGGCGACAGCGCGGAGCACCACAAGGCCCTCTCTGACCTCGAGGAAGCCATGAGGCTGCGGTTCATCGGCAAGAGGACCCTTTTCCCCTTCCAAAAAGGGTTCCTCGTCACGATCGCCAGCATGCGCGGCCTGGTAAAGGACGTCACGGCCCAGCTCGGCCCCGCCCCCGGCAGCTACGTACTGACTGGACGAGTCAATCAGGATCCGCTGGAGTCCTTCTTTGGCCTGGTGCGGGGAAAAGGAGGCGCCTGCTTACATCCAAGCCCCAGTGAGGCGCGGTGCCGGGTCAGAAACCTGACTGATGCTGGCGCTCCGATTGGGCTTGAACCCGCTGTCGGGGGCTGGCACTGCCTCCAGCCCCAGGGCCGCCGCCGCTCCTGCCACTTCAGCGATCACCAGCGACGTATATTCCAACGAGCTCGACTCCGGTGACCTGGAGCGGGCAGTCCTGGACGGCTTTTTGGAGGACTCCGCGGCGGATGGGATGGCAGGGGACCTACAGGAGGCGGAGTCGCTGCTGGCGACGGCCAGTCGGCCTCCCTCGGCCCGGGCCCGGGCGGCCACCAGCTCGCCGCTGGACCCAGAAACGGGTGTTTCTGCCGAACAGTACGGCCTGGCGCACGCGGCCGGATATGTGGTGGCCAAGTGCCGACGCATTGACCCCACCATCAGCCAAGGCGGCCTCAGCGTGCCCAGTGCAGAGTGGCTGGCTCGGTTCCGTGCGATGGAGGCTGTGTTCTGCACCACCCACCATCTGGAGCCGGAATACATCTCCCGCGCGCCGCGAGTGGTGGAGAGCCTGGTGGAGCGCCTCGCTGCTGAGACAGGCTCTATGGACACGCGCGTGATCCGGCGGTTTGTGCGCCTAAGGACTTTAATCCGCCTCGGCCATGTGAACAGGGAGCTGCGCGCACTGGCGGATGAACTGCGGGAAGCGCGGAAGGTGCGCGAGTTCGCCGGGTGAATGTGAAACAGAGTGTAAATAATGTGAAGTGTCATTTTGTGATGTGAAACCGGTCAGTACTTGAGCGATGGGCTGTACTTTGTTGTGCTCTCCAGTTCCAAGCTGGGCAGGATTTGTGAGTTGTGACCCTTAACTGGCTTATTTTCATTGCCTTGTGATCAAAGCCACACGGATATGTTGCGGGAGCTGAACACACTCAGACTCGATGCTTTACTGTATTATCGGCAGAGGCCCAAACAAGAACCCCAGAGCCAACCGCTCGTAACCACGGTCTCCCTGCCTCTCCCGGGCCGCCGACCGCCCAGCCAGGGCCAGCCCTCGACCCCGCCCGAGGGCCACGCGGCAGGGGCGGCGCCGGGCGCGGCCAGCCGGGGAGGCGCCACGGGCGGCGCCAGGCATGCCACAACGGGCGGTCACAGCCGCCCGTAACACCCCTCCCCCACATGAGCACGAGTCATCCCACGAGCACGAGTGACCCCCCGCATGACAACCACACCAAAAACAGCCTCAACAAAACACAACAACAACAAAAACGACAACTTCGAATCATACATTCATACACACCGTCCCGAGCGCCCTCACACATGCCGCCTAGCGTCGGCCGCGCCTGAGCCACCCCGGCAGGTAGCCCATCAGTCGCCGGTAGCCGGCGGCGCTGAGGTGGACCCCGTCAGCCGAGAAGAACCTGCCGTCCATCTTAAAGCGCCGTTTCCTCCCCTCCCGCCGGCAGAGGCGTCGGCCGAGCGCGACGAAAGTGGAGTCGGTCTCGCGGCACAGTTCGCACAGCGCCCGTTCGAGCCAGAAGGCCGGGGTGGACTCCCACACTCTGCCACCGTCGCGGGCCGGCCGCGGCGTCACGCCGAGGATGGTCACGGCGCAACCAAGGCTACGGGTGTCGATGATGGTCTCCTTCAGCCGCCCCAGCGTCGCCACCACCGTGACCGGGTCGAAGGCGGCCCCCCTTGGGTAAACGTCATTACCGCCCAGCCATAAGATGACTTGGAGGTCCGTCAGCTCCCCTTTCCCACAGACCCACGCCCTTACTTCGGTCGCGCTTGACCGCAGCCAGCGGCTCAGAGTCAGCCCGGGGACCGCGCACACGGACAGGCGCCGAGGGGGGTCACACCGGAAGTCCGCCCCGCTCAGCATAGAATCTCCTATTAAGAGCACGGCGGACCCCGGCGGACCAGCCTCCGGCGAACCGCCGGACCCCTCAGCGATGTCCCCCAAGCCAAAGTCCGTGTCGATCGGGTCGCCCAGAATCTCGCCCAATATGTCGGCACCGTCGACCCCGACTGAAACCTCCGCCAGGATGGCGGCGGTCGGAGATACGGGTGGTCGTCCGCCGCCCTCCTCGCCGTCTCCCGGGCGTCTCCTGTCAGGAGACGGGAACGATTCTCCATCTGGCTGCGTCCCCCACATGGCTTCACCCGCGGCACCACCATCCGCGGGTGGGACCTCCACCACCACCTCCACCAGGTCCGAGTCCGACGGCGCCGGCGACGACCACAGTGCGGAGGACGGCATCTCCGTCACCACCTCAGTCAGCTCCGCGTCCTGCTGCACGATCAGCGGCAGCCCGGCGTCCGCGGAAGGCATACCACCTCCCGAGAGCCCTCTGAGGAGACCCTGAAGCTGTTCCTCCAGTCGCTCGCGCTCGGCCCTTTCCTCGGCAACAGCCGTCCAGAGGCTGTCTAGCTCCAGCCGCGTAGGGTCCATCTGAAACTTAAAAATACAATCACCTTTTGGTTCCCGAGCACTTCTTAGCAGCACAAGTCAATATCTGCCCACCCACCCTACTTGATGTAACAGGGTCTTCCACTACTTTCGGTTTCGATCAGGAGGGACCAAATTTGATTTCCCGCCTGAAACCTTTGACACACATCCTGACCTAGTCACATAATAGGCCGGTCACGCTCCTGTTCTGCCGCAAAACCGGATCGAGAAGACACATCGGTCGAGGTGGGTCAGCGCTGGAAGCGACTAACGGGCACCCACCTCGACTGCGGCCTCCCCTCCTCACGAGGGACACCTCAACTTTGTGACCCCGGTGTCCCGGACCTCAGCTGACCAAGACGCCCCACTGGGCAGTCCCGCCGAAAATGGTCAGGAGCACCACACCCGTAACACCCGCTAGTTTTGGACGTATCAGGGCTGAAACGAGCAACAGTGAGTGCCTCCAAGGACGACTGCAGCTGCCCAACCTCCTGTTGAAGCTGACTTACTGTGTCCTGGAGCATCGCGCGCTCAGTTTCGGCGTCACGCTAGGCTAATGCTACCGACCCACTCGATGTTCGTTCCGTATCAGTGTTTCCTCCTTTATGTTTCAATAACTTTTACCTGTCTCATACAGGGGCCGCGCATAGTCGAGTGCGACACCATCCAACAGAGGCAATAGCCGTTTACCCTATCAAAAAAGCACGACGCTGTCTCACAGGCTAACCGCCTGCGATACTACTCAGTCTCTAAATAATAATAATAAATAATCAAGGCTAACCGCCCCGAAAAATGCCTGCGGTAACCCTACCGTCCCCTCATCCACCACTGATCCGAGCAGACCGCTCGGCTCCGGCCATTAGTTAATCGGCTACAGTCTAAACACAATCATGCCAAACGATAATAACACAACAGACTCACCGTTGCCGTCGCCGGTCCTACCGACCGCGCCAAATGTTGCGGGAGCTGAACACACTCAGACTCGATGCTTTACTGTATTATCGGCAGAGGCCCAAACAAGAACCCCAGAGCCAACCGCTCGTAACCACGGTCTCCCTGCCTCTCCCGGGCCGCCGACCGCCCAGCCAGGGCCAGCCCTCGACCCCGCCCGAGGGCCACGCGGCAGGGGCGGCGCCGGGCGCGGCCAGCCGGGGAGGCGCCACGGGCGGCGCCAGGCATGCCACAACGGGCGGTCACAGCCGCCCGTAACAGATAGGCTAACGGTTCTTTAGCGAGACATTTGATGTGTGAGTAGAGTTGTCTTGCAATTGTTCATTTCATGTTTTGTAACTGGATATCTCTGGAGCTCTGTCTGTCTGTCTGTCGGGCACACTTGTCTGCCTGGCGCCAGCACATAGTTGTTTGATGTGTTATTTTCAATTAACTGGCTTATGTACAGTGACTAACACGGCAATATCCATGCCACTCTGTGTTGACGTTGAGTGGCGCTCGACCGGTCTTGCTAATGCTTTCCTACGTTTACTATCTTGTAATGCAAAATGCATCGTTTGGATGTCCTGATGCGAGTCAGAGCAGATGCGGCAAATGAATATACATGTATCCTATTCACGGATGTAAGTCGCTGGCCTGTTGAATTACATGTATGTGGGCTGGCTGCAAAGGGCGGCGAGATACGTAATATCCACAGGAAAGGCAAATGTCGGGAAATTAACAAATTGATTGACAAATGACAGTGAAGCTGCCATCCGAGAGTCAAATTTACAAAGCAGGAAGTGTCCAATGCAATATCGAAACACATTGGCGGACCCGAAGGGGGGGGGGGGAGGGCATTCAGGGCAATGGTTCCGTGCCCGAGATGCCACCTTCAACAGTGTTACTCTAACGACTAACCTTAATCATCAATGAAATCCGCAGGCAGGTCGCGGCAATGTTTAACCCTAGAACGCCTAGGGGGGGGGGAGGGGTTGTATCAACCCCCCCTGAGGTTTTTTCGAAGTGCACGCTAAACGGCTTGTCGTAGCGGGCTGAAATTTTCAATACCCTCTGGGGCAACCTTTGCGCATCTTTTGCCGAAAAAAATTGATCGGGTCATGTCAGGTCACGGAGTTATGACGTCATAAGAGGTACAGCCTCCGGCCGACAGTTACCAAACGTGTGCGCCGAATCCCTAGGTTTTCTGCCGGTGATACCCACATTGTTTGATGGATCATGATGAAACTTCCCATGCATGTTGGGGCAAGCATTGGCTATCGTGTGGTGCAAGAAAATTGACCGGGTCAGGTCAGGTCACGGAGTTATGACGTCATAAGAGGAACAGCGTCCGGTACTATTTTTGAAAAGCGCCCGAACCACTATTTTGCTAATTCTTGTCACCTCAATGGGAATATGCAGCAATATTAGCTTCTATAAGGAACAAATGGACCTTCCAAATCCAAAAATACAATCAGATTTCAAAAATTTAAATTTTGATTTTTCGAATTTCTGCCGCCGACTGTGACCTTGCCGACTTCCGGCGCTCCCAACGCGCCATTTTTAGAGCTAGGGAAACGAAATACATACCAAACGATAGAGAATTGATCAAGGAACACGATAGTGAAGGTTTCAAGTCGATATCTCCCACCGTTTTGCCGCAATCGCCGCGGAAAGTTGAAAAAAGTCTATTTTTCCGAAAATTTGACCTTTGACCGGTCAAAAGTAGGTCAAATGTTGACCTAGGACCAAAAAATATACCACCAATCGCGAGATCTCGTTGAGAGCAATCCGTTGGTTTTTTCCGCTAAGCTCTACGACCTTCCGTTTCGAAACGCCAGGGGGGGGGGCGTAACAACCCCCCCCCCTGGTCGTTCGTGTTATGAGAAATGGCCTGGTCGTGCGAGGGTTAAGATTAGGGCTGCGGAGTCGACAGTTGTGACCGGAGTCAGAGTCGACTTAGGAAACCGGAGTCGGAGTCGGAGTCGACTTAGGAAACCGGGGTCGGAGTTGGAGTCACCGAAAATACCTCGGCTCTGCAGGTCTGCGGAGTCGCAGTAAGAGTTGGAGTCGGTTGGAGTCGACAGCTCTGCCCGGAGTCTAAGTAGGAGTTGGTGTTTGCAAGCCGGAGTTAGAGTCGGAGTCGCCGAAAATCCATAGACTCCTCAGTCCTGTTCAAGGCTACCAATGTGCGACCGCAGGCAGCTGCAGGTATGTGTAATGTGTATGTGTTCGGCAGCTGCTTAGCACATACATACATAGAGCAGTAACGCCATCACTAGGTGTCGCTACAGCTGTCGCACAGATGTCGCGCGCGTCGCCACTCACCACACTGCCAACATCCATAAGGACGTATATGAGGTTATATGTAACGGAAAGTCGCCCTTAAGAACCACACTTACATGCCTTGCTTATAAGATCCATAATTGGAAATCAGGAGGTGTTCAGCATTTTTCGACCCCGGATATGAGTTAACCACATGCTGAGGAACACGCTGATATGCGTTTTATGAGTCAGAACCGCACATAAGTATTTTTAATCATTTTTCAAAAATAGCCGTTTCGCCGTATCCTTCAGTGATAAGTGCCGTCGGTCATCCCCGACGTGACGTCACGCCGGGGATTGCCAGATTTTCCTACTAGACTTCGACGCCCCCTGGACTTACATATCTCTCCCCTACATAGACGAGACCCTCGCACGACGAGTCAACGGGGTAGTGCGCTCGTGTGGCGTACAGGCACGGATCGCGTGGACCAGTGGGAAGACGGTGGCCAAACACATCGTGAGATCAGCGTTAGAAAGCCCCCCTTGCCCTGCTGGCGCCAAACGCTGTGCCACATGCGAATCAGGGCTTCCAGGCCGCTGCCACATCAAAAATGCCGTCTACAAAATTTCATGTAATCTTTGTGACGATAAAGCTGCGCGTCTTTTGGTTTCTGCACATTGGCGAAACCAAAAGACGCGTCCGTGACAGATTTAATGAGCACATTCGTGATGCAAAGAACAAGGCGAAAAACACCCCTCTTGGAGACCATGTTACCCAAAGGCATCCATCATGCACCATCACATCATCGACATTCAGTATTTCCATAGAGTGTGCAAAGACGTCGCTGATTTAAAAATATCCGAATCCGTAAAACAAGGAACCCAAAACCATGTTTGAACACCCAAACCTCATATTGGCCACTTCTGCAGCGCCCATCGTACACCCCTACATAACTTGTGTGTACATATCCATAAATTGATTTTAACAAATCAATGATCTTGTATTTTAGGCGTGCAAGACACACGAAGATTCATACATAGCATTAGATTGAGATTGTATAATGTATATTGCATATTGTATATTGCTTAACCCGCGCGGGGCTGGGGTCTCCAGCCGAACGCGCGGGGCTGGGGGGGGGGGGTAAATTTTACCCCCCCCTGTTATCTCCCGAACTAATGGTCCGATTTGGAAAATTCAAACGCCAATCGAAAGCTCTCATCACGAACTACTAAAAACATGTACTTAATTTAAAGTTTGAGGTCAAGGTCAAGGTCAGGTCAAGGGTACAAATTGCAAGTTTCTACAGTATCGGCCTTGCACCGTAGTTGCCGAAGAATGGAGTCATGGACTGAGACTGATCGCCCAAAACGTGTTCTTAGGCTACCAAGACAATATTCGTTGCATACAATATCATTCAGAGGTCAAGGTCAAGGTCAGGTCAGGTCAGGTCAGGTCAGGTCAGGTCAGGTCAGGTCAGGTCAGGTCACCAAAAAACAAAATATAGAAAAGGGCATGTGCGACACATGTTTTATGGGTCATTTTACTCATAGAATTCAATAGGCACACTCAATAAGTGATATGGACCACCTCTGGATGAATTTCAGGTCGAGGTCAGGTCAAGGTCAGGTCAAGTGAGGTCAAATTTTGAAGTTGGTTTTTAAGGCCTAAAAAGGTGTCTATCTGATGCAGTTTTTCACGGCGAATCGAATGGTGCTATTTTTGTTTCCGTACGAGGTCTAGAACTTCCAAAAAAGTCATTTTTCAAAAAAATTGTGTGTCGTGACGTCATAAAATTTTGAATAACTCCCACATTTTTGAACCGATTCTTCTAAAATTTGGTATGTAGGTGCACATAGACCACTTCTCTGACATATATTCCGGTTTTTTCGATAGACTCAAAATTTTGGATTTTATAATGATTTTCCCAAAAAAAGTCAGTTTTTTGAAAAAAAAATTAAGCCAAAATCCAAAATTTTCAAAAAACCGAGATAGCCATTTGATAGACAACGTAAAATTACGCATAACCTTTTTTGTTACGTCTTGATTCCTTTAAAAATGAAGATGTTAGCGGCGTTTGAACTTTTGCCGTTTTTGAGGCGAAAATGGCGAACATGACGTCACTAAAACGTCAATTTCTCAAAAAATTTCCGACGGATTTCGCTCAAATTTTCAGGGAACGTGTCAAATTGATGTAAGAAAAGGGTACTGAAAGTTTGGCGGCGCTGCGCGCCGCCGTTTTTGAGATATCGCAAAAATTCGCGAGGGGGGGTAAAATTTACCCCCCCCCCAGCCCCGCGCGGGTTAATGTATATCATAGTATATATTGTATATTGTGTATTAAAGATTGTACCTATATTGTAGCTTGTATATTGTGTCATGCATAGAATTCTAGGCTGTGAAGACACGAAATTGCATGCGTAGCATTTGATTGAGATTGTATATTGTATATTGCTTTATGTGTACTGTAGTATATATTGTAAATTGTGTATTATAGATTGTACTTATATTGTAGATTACAGATTGTGTCATTGATAGCGCATCGTTAATCCGAGAGCAATGTGTATATGTGTAATTATTCTGTCATCAAGGAGCTTATTGAAATGCTGCACGATTTATTGATTCATGGAATCGAATTCTGTTTGCTTGTGTCGACAATTGTTTGTGTTTTTTTTTTGTACATTCTGAGGATGGCGCAAGCTGAAATATACTAATGAATTAGTTTAATCATTCATTATCAACCAAAAAAAAACTTCAAAGAAT